TCGGTTCTCGACTTTATGGCCGGCCTCTTTTCTTGGGGGTCCTGCGCTGGGGGCTTTCGACCTAAGCCCCTCCTAAAGGTTGGTGAGCCTTCGCTCTTTCCTCGTCGACTGGAGTCAGTCAGTCGTCGTCAGTCAGTCATATTTGTAAGTCATTCGTCTCCTGAGGTTAGCCCCGAGTCCGTGCTTGACTCTGGCCACCTCAATCGACAGGCTTCTTTTTGTCCACCCGTTGTACACGGGCTGTTCTTTCCCCTCTTGGGTGTACAACTATTGTCGGTCTTCTCCCCTTTTCTTTGGCCTGATCAGCTGCTAGGGCCAAATATCTTCTTGTTGCAGCTGGCTTTTCGGTCTTTTATGACGCCTTATTGTTCTTGGGTCGTAATCCAAGGCGGCTTCAATCAGCACATTTCTTTTCAAAGAACTTTCTGGCCCTCTCTCTCATCTGGATTACGACCGGTACCTGTCGTAGTTCGTCATATAGCACTCTGTTAGGTACATACCACGGTGCGTCCACCGCTTCACGGAGTGCCATGTTTTGTTGAGCTTGGAGCCTCTTCTTCATCGTTTTGGAAACGTAGCCCCAAGCTACTGCTGCGTAAGTCATGATTTGTAGCAGCACCATCTGAATCATGATGGTCTTATTCTTTAGTGACACTTTGCTTCTTCTGCCCGTTAAGGGTCTTAGTTTGGAGCGTGCCATCTTCACTTTCTGCACCCGGTCTTCGACATGGTTCTTCCAAGTGAGTTTCTGGTCCATCTTGACTCCAAGGTATGTGCTGGAGTCTTTCCAGTCGACCTCAACCTCTTCATCTCTTCTCCAGCCTCTCTCCATTCTGGTGGTCGTCATCTTTATTTTGGTCTGAGGTAATCTTCGATTTCTTCGGAACAGTACCGCTTCGGTCTTCTCGGGGTTGAGGCGGATCTTCCACTTGATGCACCATTCCTCTAGGTTGGTGGTCGCTCGTTGCAGATATTCCGTAACCATGCGGGGTCTCGTACTTTCTGCCGCATATGCTGTATCGTCCGCATACACATACAGTTGCGTTTGAGGAGTCTTCGGGATGTCTGAGCTGTAGATTGGATACAGCAGGGGTGGTAGAACCGCTCCCTGCGGTACTCCTGCCTCCACAGTCCTCGTCGTCGAGGTTGTTTTACCGATCCTAATTCGGAAATTTCGGTGCTTCAAGTAGGACTTCACCAGTTGGATCATCCCCTTTGAGTATCCGTGGTCTACCATCTTGTAGATCAGTCCGTCATGCCAAACAGTGTCGAACGCCTTTGCGGCATCCATGAACACAGCTCCCACGGCCCGCCGAGTCTGGAACGATTTCGTTGCCATCTCGACCAGCCTTAGGACCTGGTGCTCTGCTGAATGCCCGCATCGGAATCCGACTGTTCGTTCTGGAAATACTCGGAGTTCTTCGGTTTCGTTCTTCAGTCTTCGTTCGATTACCCTTTCCGCAATCTTGCTCAGTGCCGTCAACAGGCTTATGGGTCTGTAGTTTTGGGGGAACCTTGGGTCTTTCCCAGGTTAGGAATGTTGTATCAACTCGGCTACTTTCCAGTGATCTGGAAAGTACCGGTGTCTCAGTATGGCGTTGACGATGTTGGTAATTGCCATTATCGCTGTCCTCGGGAGTCTTTCAGGACTCTGTTCCCAATATCGTCTCACCCGGTGCCTTCTTCACCTTTGAGTCTTTCGATGATTTCCCTTCACCTCGCCTGGAGAGGGCATGTCTTCGATGGCTCTTCCTCCTCTGACAGCTCTCCTCGATCTTCTCATCACCTCGTCGATGAAGTCTTCGTCTTCATCGGGGTGAGTATTGAGAGTACACTGTCTCTGAAGGTTGTCAGCAAAAGCTTCCGCCTTCCTCTTCGTTGTGTACACCATCCCCTGTTCGCTGTGTATGGGGGGATGGGCTGTCTTCTATTTCTGAGGATTTTAGCCAAGTTCCACATTCCTGGGTCAGCTGGAGATAGTTCGTCGAGTTTCTTATCCCAGGTGCTCTGATGGTGCTGCTTCAAGGCGTCTCGTGCCTGTCTCATAAGTCTGTTTGCCACCATGAAGTCAGTGGGGCTTCTGGTCTCCTGGGCTACTCTTCGGGCTCTGTTTCTTTCGGTGATCTTGCGATTTACCTCGTCAGGTAGGTCCCTGAACCTGTTTGGTTGCGTTATGTCTTCCACGGTGGTTGCGGCTTCTAACGCAGCCTTAATCTTCCTTTCCTAGGTCCGTGACCGCTCTTCTATGCTTTCGGGGCTTTCGATCTGTAGTAGTGGTCCTTGTGAATAGTGCAGTCTGGTTCTAAACCGCTGCCAATTCACTCCTCTCACTGTTCTTTGTTCCACAGGTGTTATCCCATCTCCCGTACAGAGAAAGATGGGGTTGTGGTCTGAGCTTCCCTCTTGCATGGCGCCGATGGTGGTGCGCATGTCGATTTCCTTCAGAATCGCCATATCTATGACGTCTGGTCTACCTCCGTTGCTGGGGTATATTGTAGGTTCGTCCGGACCTATCATGGTATATCCAGGTTCATCCATTAGTCTTTCCAGAACAGCGCCGTGACTGTTTCTGTTTCTTGAGCCCCAAATGGTGGACTTCGCGTTTAGATCACCTACGATCACGGTACTGTTTCCCAGTGCAGTGATACAGGTGACATCTTCCAGATATTACGGACTTCTTCTATACATATATATATATATATATATATATATATATATATATATATATATATATATATATATATATATATATATATATATAGAGAGAGAGAGAGAGAGAGAGAGAGCGAGAGAGAGAGAGAGAGAGATAGATGAAAAGATTAAAATAACGACCACAGCTAATTATCATTTTGCATTTTATCATAACATAGTGGTTCTGAAAAGAACCGTTTTTTTTTTGTTCTTATTTTTCGAACCGTATAACCGTCGAAGCGAATACAACGTCTATATTATTTTGAACTGGTGTACTTGGTGACGGCTTTGGTACCTTCGCTGACTGCGTGCTTGGCCAATTCCTCCCGGTAGCAATAGTCGTACGGCTGTCTGAATTTCTCTGCTAGTTATCGTGGCACGTTTGTTGTAATGTGCCAATCTGGAAGCTTCCGCAGCGATACGTTCGAAAATATCGTTGACGAAGCTGTTCATGATGCTCATCGCTTGCTGGATATACCCGTATCGGGATGTACCTGCTTCAGTACTTTGTAGATGTAAATTGCGTAACTTTCCTTCCTCCTGCGCTTCTTTTTCTTGTCAGATTTTGAGATATTCTTCTGCGCCTTGCCCGCTTTTTTGGCAGCCTTACCGCTAGTTTTGGGTGGCATTTTATTGTGAGATGATGCTGAGTATAATCGACACCAACGCTCGACTAACGGAACGACTGCAATTCTCTGGCCGTATTTAAGACAGGTGACGTTACGACCGTAGACTCCGCCCCCAGGCGTTTGCCGGCAAACGTTCGCGTCGATTGGTCGGTTAGTTCATATAAATACAACGTTCGCGGAGATCATGTTGTGCATTTGCAAGTTCATAGTCGACGTCGTTCGTTTAGCAGATTAACAAATTGAATATGTCAGGACGCGGAAAAGGCGGTAAAGTTAAGGGAAAGGCAAAGTCCCGATCCAGCAGGGCCGGCCTACAATTTCCCGTCGGTCGTATCCACAGGTTATTGCGAAAAGGGAATTATGCTGAACGCGTCGGTGCCGGAGCTCCCGTATATCTAGCGGCCGTTATGGAATACTTGGCCGCTGAAGTTTTGGAATTGGCAGGCAACGCTGCTCGCGACAATAAAAAGACCCGTATTATTCCACGTCATCTGCAATTGGCCATCAGAAACGACGAAGAATTGAACAAATTGCTTTCAGGCGTCACAATTGCCCAAGGAGGAGTTCTCCCTAATATCCAAGCTGTTCTTTTGCCGAAAAAGACGGAGAAGAAAGCCTAAAAAAAAAAAATCTTCTGAACATACAATCGGCCCTTCTCAGGGCCAACAAGTAATTTAATAAGAAAATGAAGGGATTATCATTTGTATATGGAAAAATTTTCTCAGGGTGATATCGGATCGGTTGTGGCGCGAGAAGTTGGCAATAACTAAATTATTTAATCGAGGCATCTCATCGTCGCATTCACGTCTAATATTCGCCGGTATCTCGATAATGGGACATATCGGGACCGAAATCGTCGATTATTGTAATTCAAAGAGCCAAAACGTATAAGTCGATCAATTTCTCATATTCCGATAAACTCATTTATGTGAGTGTTTCTTTTTATTTTGTATAAAAAAAATAGAAAATTAATGTGGCGGTTCAATCGGCAGATCCATTCTTTCTCACGAGAGTATATGGTGGTTCTGAAAAGAACCGTTTTTTTTTTCTTTGTATTGTATTTTCGTTCAACCTGTACCGTGGTAATTGCTGCGGAGTGTTTAACCACCGAATCCGTACAAAGTGCGTCCTTGTCTCTTTAATGCATATACGACGTCCATTGCAGTGACTGTCTTCCTTTTAGCGTGCTCGGTGTAAGTGACTGCATCCCTGATTACGTTCTCTAAAAAGACTTTGAGCACTCCTCGAGTTTTCTTCGTAAATCAATCCGGATATACGTTTTACTCCTCCACGTCGCGCCAATCTTCTTATGGCCGGTTTCGTAATTCCCTGGATGTTATCCCTCAAAACTTTACGATGCCTTTTCGCTCCTCCTTTTCCCAATCCTTTACCACCTTTACCGCGTCCAGTCATTTTTCAAGATTCTCTCGCACGTCGAACTGTTAAAGCGAACGGGCTGTTGCCAACTGACGGTACGTCTCTCGTGACGCCCGGTTTTGTTAGCGTTGTCGTCCCTCCTATTGGTCTATCAATTGGCCAATCAGACTGTTTCGTATTTCGAGCCCATATAAATATAACTGTTCGCGGTGTTTACCTCCGCTCACTATAATATTGTCCGTTGCAATATTCACGTCGCTGCTATATAGATAATTTATATTCAGTTATCTGAAATTTAACGTAATGGCGCGTACCAAGCAGACGGCTCGTAAATCCACCGGAGGTAAAGCTCCCAGGAAGCAATTAGCCACGAAGGCTGCCCGTAAAAGTGCTCCTGCTACTGGCGGAGTTAAGAAACCTCACCGTTATCGTCCGGGAACTGTGGCTCTCAGAGAAATTCGTCGTTATCAGAAAAGTACCGAATTGTTGATCAGAAAATTGCCTTTCCAACGGCTGGTCCGTGAAATAGCGCAAGATTTCAAGACCGATTTGCGATTCCAAAGTTCTGCTGTAATGGCACTCCAAGAAGCTAGCGAAGCGTACCTGGTCGGACTATTCGAGGATACGAACTTGTGCGCGATCCACGCTAAGCGAGTAACGATCATGCCGAAAGATATACAGCTGGCAAGACGTATTAGGGCGAACGTGCCTAATGGAATTGACGGATTTACTATTTGCCGGAAAGAGAGAGAGAGAGAGAGAGAGAGAGTACGGCGTGCGATAATAGGTTATAAAAAAAAAAAACGGTTCTTTTCAGAACCATCATATAGTATGTTCAGAAAAAGGGGATCGTGTATTATGTTAAGTATATCAGATTGTTGTTTGTACGCGTGCAATTTCGACACTATTATCGTGTATGCAAAATAGCGCTAAATGGTTATACGATAGTCGCTAGTTATTACCCGTTATCCTATATCGAAGGATTGTGGTGCTTTGTAGTAAACCGTTACATTGATATTATTCTAATAACGTACGAATTGTATGTATGTGTATGGAAGTAAAATAACTTATAAGTAGCATGTGATTATAATGTAGATAATTCGACATAATATAGATATTTTGCCGTATATATTGCTTAGGCGTTTAGGCAGGCTGTTAGCGTGTAATACGTAACATTAGGTACTTTCACGTAGATCAAAAGTCAGTAATGCGTACGTCTAATAATTAATATGTAGTAAGAGATGAATTTATAACTCGATCGCTCGTATATTATATATAATATTTTTCTACTCTGGCTTATTTATTACGAATAATAGATTGATGTCTCATATTATTATCTATTTTGTCATATTACAGGAGTAATGTTAAAATTATCGCGATATATTTCGCGACTGTGCACGTTCGGATGTACGCCAGACATACCTCCGTATAATTGCGATTATCTAAAATACCTTATCCATTAGCCGTATACCGACAGTATAATTGTATTACGAATAGTCGTAGATTGTTAATTTCATGAAATATCTAATTATATAACGTATTCGTATAATATAAATTAGATCAAAAAGCCGGACGATTAGGTCCAAAGCGGATACCTTGCACGTTTCACCTTATAATTTTATCGTGTACGTAGCGTACGTGATCAAGTCGCGAAGTTAAATGTGTATTTCAAATTATGCAGATTTCATATTCGTTCAGGTTTTAGCTGTTGCTCGTATGCAATTATATCAGCGACTCAAAAAACCAACAGATACGACCGCAGGCTTGGCAGAATTGAAGCCGTCGAAATCGGTTTCGCTGCAAAGTCGGAGCGTTCAATGTTCGGTCCGACCGAAATGACTTGGGTCACGACGCTGAATTTACCTCTCACATTCATTCGACATTCGTTCTCTTAGCGAGATCGTCGATCAGTGATTGCAAAAGATCGCGCGTATACAATAATCTGTCTCCTCTTCACGACTCGTAAACATGGCAGATACGGAAAACCAGAATTACGCCGCGTCGGCTACGGCTACCGCGAATTCTGCGTCGCCGACGTCGCAGTCGTCTGCGAAAAAGGAGAAAAAACCGAAGAATCCGAGGGCGAAGCCGTCTCATCCTCCTACTAGCGAAATGGTCATCAACGCAATTAAAGGATTAAAAGAGCGTGGCGGGTCGTCTCTGCAAGCTATCAAGAAATACATAGCCGCTAATTACAAAGTAGACGCTGAGAAAGTTGCGCCTTTCATCAAGAGGTACTTAAAATCGTCCGTCGCGTCTGGAGCTTTAGTACAGACGAAAGGCAAAGGAGCTTCCGGATCGTTCAAGCTAGCTTCGTCATCGGCTGGCGGAGCGTCGAAAACTTCATCATCGTCAGCCGCAAAGGTTGGCGAAAAGAAGAAGAAATCCGCGACCGGCTCAAAGAAGAGCGGAACCGTAGCTAAGAGAGCTAGCGGTGCGAAATCTGCGAAGAAGGCATCTCCGAAGGCTAAGAAACCGGCGGTGGCCGGTGGTGCGGCCGAGAAGAAAGCTTCTCCAGCTAAGACAAAGAAAAGTGGGAAATCGGCGACGTCGGCTAAAGCTTCTTCTGCTGCACCTTCTGCAGCGGCTGCAAAAAAATCTCCTTCGAAGGCGAAGAAATCCAGCAAGGGAGCTCCGACCAAGAAGCCAAAAGCACCAAAACCGAAAACGGCGAAGGCTGCAACATCGCCAAAAAGGAAGGCCGCTTCACCCAAAAAGAAGAAATAAAAAAAAAATTTAGACGTGTTGCAACGTCGTAGATTACGGCTACGTCGGTTCGAGACGTTATATTTATGCGAGAGGATGCTATACGTCCCCGCGGATTGAAAATGGCCCTTTTCAGGGCCACCACTATTACTATAAAAAGGATACAGAATATTTACGAATTAGCAATTTTGTATCGAAATATACATGTACAACTGCGGCTCGTACGTGCGTTGATGTTTTTTTTTTTTTTTTTTTTATTAAATTCGAGTATTATTCGTTTACGATTAGGTATTTATAAGCAAGTGGTAATGTTAGGCGTCGTCACCATCGATATTTGCTTTTAAGGGTATAAATAAGTATGTATTGTGTTTAATTAAACGAATGAACGTTAAACAGTCGATTGCGTCGTAAGGATATCCCCTTTTTTTACGCTTTCGTTTACCATTAAATAATCCGGTCGGGTCTTATATCAGACGTTATTGCTTTAGTGGTGTATGTATATCACGAATAATCATCTGGTATTCAAGTACCAATAATATATATGTTGCGCGTACGGTGATATCATTATCTTTACTTGATAACTTTAGTGGTTCTGAAAAGAACCGTTTTTATGTTGTAAGTTGTTGTTGATGTTGTTGTTGTCGTCGTAGTTACATATTACTTCGAACTGGTGTACTTGGTTACGGCTTTGGTACCTTCGCTGACGGCGTGCTTGGCCAATTCTCCTGGTAGCAATAGTCGAACGGCTGTTTGAATTTCTCTGCTAGTTATCGTGGCACGTTTGTTGTAATGTGCCAATCGGGATGCTTCCGCTGCGATACGTTCGAAAATATCGTTGACGAAGCTGTTCATGATGCTCATCGCTTTGCTGGAAATACCGGTATCTGGATGTACCTGCTTCAGCACTTTGTAGATGTAAATTGCGTAGCTTTCCTTCCTCCTGCGTTTCTTTTTCTTATCAGACTTGGAAATATTTTTTTGAGCCTTACCGGCCTTTTTAGCTGCTTTACCGCTAGTTTTGGGTGGCATCGCGTTTCGATTTACACAAAAAGTACGATCTTTACTGACACAATATCGTGATCTATAATGGAAAGGTGCACACACACCCTCCTACCCTGTGCGGTCCCTCCACCACCCCTGTTCCAGGCAACCTCAAACCCTTGAGGAGTGGGGGGAAGAGCAATCTGCTCCTCCCCCCACTCCCGCCCAAAGGCCTGGAGTGGCGCTGCGTGGTTCAGGCCGCTTGCGCATTCCCCGAGTGTGTGCTGCCGAACGAGCTATCCCCCCTTCCCCAATTTTGCCCCTTTTTCCCGAAATTTGACTCGATCGCGCACGCGTCGCGGAAGCGCGTGGTGGACGTTTCTTCCAACTGTCGGTTCTCGACTTTATGGACGGCCTCTTTTCTTGGGGGTCCTGCGCTGGGGGCTTTTGACCTAAGCCCCTCCTAAAGGTTGGTGAGCCTTCGCTCTTTCCTCGTCGACTGGAGTCAGTCAGTCGTCGTCAGTCAGTCATTTTTTGTAAGTCATTCGTCTCCTGAGGTTAGCCCCGAGTCCGTGCTTGACTCTGGCCACCTCAATCGACAGGCTTCTTTTTGTCCACCCGTTGTACACGGGCTGTTCTTTCCCCTCTTGGGTGTACAACTATTGTCGGTCTTCTCCCCTTTTCTTTGGCCTCATCAGCTGCTAGGGCCAAATATCTTCTTGTTGCAGCTGGCTTTTCGGTCTTTTGTGACGCCTTATTGTTCTTGGGTCGTAATCCAAGGCGTCTCTAATCAGCACGTTTCGATGTCTTTCGTTCTTTTCAAAGAACTTTCGGGCCCTCTCTTTCATCTGGATTACGACCGGTACCTGTCGTAGTTCGTCATATAGCACTCTGTTAGGTACATACCACGGTGCGTCCACCGCTTCACGGAGTGCCATGTTTTGTTGAGCTTGGAGCCTCTTCTTCATCGTTTTGGAAACGTAGCCCCAAGCTACTGCTGCGTAAGTCATGATTTGTAGCAGCACCATCTGAATCATGATGGTCTTATTCTTTAGTGACACTTTGCTTCTTCTGCCCGTTAAGGGTCTTAGTTTGGAGCGTGCCATCTTCACTTTCTGCACCCGGTCTTCGACATGGTTCTTCCAAGTGAGTTTCTGGTCCATCTTGACTCCAAGGTATGTGCTGGAGTCTTTCCAGTCGACCTCAACCTCTTCATCTCTTCTCCAGCCTCTCTCCATTCTGGTGGTCGTCATCTTTATTTTGGTCTGAGGTAATCTTCGATTTCTTCGGAACAGTACCGCTTCGGTCTTCTCGGGGTTGAGGCGGATCTTCCACTTGATGCACCATTCCTCTAGGTTGGTGGTCGCTCGTTGCAGATATTCCGTAACCATGCGGGGTCTCGTACTTTCTGCCGCATATGCTGTATCGTCCGCATACACATACAGTTGCGTTTGAGGAGTCTTCGGGATGTCCGAGCTGTAGATTGCATACAGCAGGGGTGATAGAACCGCTCCCTGCGGTACTCCTGCCTCCACAGTCCTCGTCGTCGAAGTTGTTTTACCGATCCTAATTCGGAATTTTCGGTGCTTCAAGTAGGACTTCACCAGTTGGATCATCCCATTTGAGTATCCGAGGTCTACCATCTTGTAGATCAGTCCGTCATGCCAAACAGTGTCGAACGCCTTTGCGGCATCCATGAACACAGCTCCCACGGCCCGCCGAGTCTGGAACGATTTCGTTGCCATCTCGACCAGCCTTAGGACCTGGTGCTCTGCTGAATGCTCGCATCGGAATCCGAACTGTTCGTCTGGAACTACTCGGAGTTCTTCGGTTTCGTTCTTCAGTCTTCGTTCGATTACCCTTTCCGCAATCTTGCTCAATGCCGTCAACAGGCTTATGGGTCTGTAGTTTTGGGGGAACCTTGGGTCTTTCCCAGGTTTAGGTATGTTGATCACCTCGGCTACTTTCCAGTGATCTGGAAAGTACCGGTGTCTCAGTATGGCGTTGACAATGTTGGTAATTGCCATTATCGTTTTCCTCGGGAGTCTCTTCAGGACTCTGTTCCCAATTTCGTCTACACCCGGTGCTTTCTTCACCTTGAGTCTTTCGATGATTTCCCTTACCTCGCCTGGAGAGGTCATGTCTTCGATGGCTCTTCCTCCTCTGACAGCTCTCCTCGATCTTCTCATCACCTCGTCGATGAAGTCTTCGTCTTCATCGGGGTGAGTATTGAGAGTACA